GGGGGGGGGGGGGGGGGGGGGGCACAGAGCCACCCTAAACTTTTTTTTAAAAAAAAAAAATAATAATCATAAACTTTTGGACACACTTTGAACACTTTATGGATACATCTAGATAAATCTTTAACATGTCGGACTCATTTTTAAAGTTATAGATATTATGAAAATTAGGTTAAATAACGTAACGAGTGATCAATCGCTAATAGCTTGATTAGTTATATTAGAGAAAAACTATAGTATCTTTTATACAGTTAGTATCATTTGTTGTAAAGGATTATAATCAGCCTATTTTTTTATTTGTATATGCTATATTTATCGATGTTCAATAATTTTTTTATTTCATGAATCTTTAATTGTAAAATACAATACTATAAATTTAAATACATTATTTTATTTTTATTTATCATGAGAAAAAAATTTGAAGTTTCTAAGTAAAGTGTCCACCCTAAAAAGAATTTTTAGCCCCACCATTGACTTTGAATGTGGATTGGACTCCCAGCCAACCATGCAAGTCCTAATTGACTGTTGCTCGTATTGCATGCTACACTTTCTAACTAGGAATTATCTCCCAGAAAGGACTAGAGCTATTTTTGAGGGAGGTAATTCCCCTCGGAGTTGACCTTAATATACGCACAATCATGTTCAACCAACGAAATTTAGATTTGAAACAAGAGCACTAGGGGTTATTACCAAAAACAAGTTGTACGTAAAAAACAAGAAATCATTAAAGTGGTGTCCCCAAAAAAAAACTAGTTTAGTTTCAGGGGAACATCTCCACTAAACAAACAAAAAATTCTTGCTGCTCTCCTCATTTGGATACCAGTATCTGTTATAAAATCAGATTGAATCTGCAGCAATAGCATCACTGTCCTAGTTACGGTGCCAAGTATAATAGGCATGAGTTCTGTTCTTAATTTCTAAGGAAGCATGCCCGAAGCTTGCTTCGTGATAGGTCGAGTAACTTGGTTGTCGGTATATAAAACTGCACAAAACAAAAAATTCTAACTGTAAGTAACTGTAATGGCACATGGGGATGGTGTATATAAGAGGATGTAGGTGTCTCACCTATCAGTCATGCCTTCTATATTTCCCCCGTCGCCAATTGTTATGTAAATTGGAGCAGAAGCATCTTTAACATTGTACTGCACATTCGACATTCGTTCCTACACAGTCGAAAAAAGATTTTCATTTAAGGTAGTTTATGAGGGCGGATTTTGTAGTTGTGGTAAGATTGTTATATTGTGATCTGGATGTCATGAGTTCAGGTTACAAAAACAGTATATCTGAAATTTTAGTGGTTGATTTACATTTCAAAGCTCAATGTTTGGAATACAATTTTATGACTTCTCTAACCAACAAACTTAGCACAAAACAATGAAAGGCAAGAATATGTATTGGGATGGAAGCTTACGGAACGCTCGTAGGAATGAACATGGCCTGCTAATATCAGATCTACTTTGTTCTGAACCAACCAAGGCTCATACATTACCCTCATGCTTTCTCCTTCCATAAAATGGTAGTTGTTACTGTTATACCATGGAGAGTGAACGAGAATGATTAGCCATGCTGTCTCGGCCCTGTTAACCTTGGGGAGCTGTTGCTTAAGCCATTTGTATTGTGGAGTATATTTACCTTTAAGAAAAAAATAAAGTAAAAATATCAGATCTCATCGCAATTCCGAGAGCTCTCCCTTTGTTTGCAATGGAAATTATAGTGTATTTGTTCTTACCATAGGCAGAGTAAGAAGATAACACAATGATATATGCCGATGCACGCTTAATAGAATACCAAAGGGGGGATGTACTCTGGGATGCCCTGTAGGGTACATGGTACCTATGCATATATGGAGTGAAAGGAGTATATTCTTCCTGAAAAATAACATGAAACTCTGTCATGACCAACTTATTAAACTGTAAAGAACATCATTCTTGTAAAGACTAAATGTTGCTACACAAAAACTAGCCAAATAGGTTGAAAACCGAATTGTCAAAAGATATAAAAACATGAAAATGAGATTCCGAGGGAGAATTAGACGTAGGTGGAGAGGAGGGAAAGTGAGTCTCGAAAACGAGACTCAACACCATTGAGGCAATTGCTAAAATTTCACTAAATTCAACTATAGAGAAACAATGCATGATTTACTTATTTTAGTCTTCTATCACAAATTAGAATCTACTTGCATGATCAACATCAATAGCTGTTATGTTTAGCATTAGACTTTAATTGAAAAAATACAAATATTATTTCAAATTCTTCTTATAAGAAAAGTTAGTAGCTAGCTATCTAGAATCATTATTGTCAAACTGCCCAACAATAGCATGGTCAGCAAATTAGATAAAAAAAATTACGTGGAGATAAATTATTGGATTCGCAACATGGGTCATATCAGTTTTCATGAGTCATTAGGCCAACAATAGAACCCTGCCTGCCCAATTGGTTAAACAATGCCAATCCTATTGTCACAGACACCAATTGTTTGCGCTTGGCGCCCCAACCTCCTTAACTAATGAATGCTTATTCATGTACACATCCTCTTTCCAAGAAGACGACTCCAACGAGTTAACATTTTAAGGCAAGTAGGCAACTTGCTCTTTTATGGTAAATTTTCATGATAACATTGTTCTTTAACTTTGCAACAAAAAATCTAAAGGGAAAGCTCCCCCACAAACCTCCTAATCGAGCATACAACAAAAGATCAACTGTGATTGAATTTCAAAATAAATCATTTCTAACATTGCAAAAGAGAAATTTCATAGGTAAACAATGGGCTAGTTATTTCCAATAGATTTGTCTTAACTTTAAACATAACAAGAAGCATTTTGACGAAAAAGAAGTTATTTATGGACAACAGGGTGCCCTGAAAGTGAACTGTTACAGGATCCAAGTAGNCAAGCATTTTGACGAAAAAGAAGTTATTTATGGACAACAGGGTGCCCTGAAAGTGAACTGTTACAGGATCCAAGTAGCTCGTGTTTGACTCAGTTGTTTTTTGGAGAATTTTAACACACAACAAGGTTGTTTTTTTGGAGAGAGAGGGGGAAAGAGGTGTTACATTTTCCATTCAAAAAGTCGACATGGCTGCTCAAAAAAAAAATTGAGAAGAACAAACGAATATTTTGCTCTGGTAAGAGCATCTTCCGTCCTTACCTTTTTCCAAACTCAAATTTAATTTTTGGATAAAAAAACTTCTAAAAACCTTCTCTAATGTTTGACATATATCAATATCTAATGAAGGGAGACTCTTTTTTTACTCAAATCAAGAGAGACTGAAATCTACCCAAATCTTTAATTATGAGATTTTTTTCTCCTTTAAAAATTCAATGGTCATATTTTATCTTCTTTTAGATTTGAATTTGTCTTCATTTAAATTTGAGTTTCTCTTACTTTTAAAAAAGGTTTCATTTAAATTTGAGCTTCTTTTACTTTTAAAAAAGGTTTCTCTATTGGAGAGATATATATCAATCCAAGTTTTTTACTATTTTTTTTCCTCAAATTTGGGGTATGGGTTTAAATAAGGACCGAAGATGGCCTAATCAAGATTTAAGGCTTAAATGGTTGATTTCTATCAAGGATTTTGCGGTGGAAATAAGACATAATCTTTATTATGGCCAATACCTAAATTTGATCATCACATACCGCCTAGCGGCTCGGCNAGGCTTAAATGGTTGATTTCTATCAAGGATTTTGCGGTGGAAATAAGACATAATCTTTATTATGGCCAATACCTAAATTTGATCATCACATACCGCCTAGCGGCTCGGCTCAGCTTCCATCCTCTTCCCCGACCAGATATATTATTGTACATAAAAGAAAAAAGATTTCCAATTCAAAAACAACATACAGAAACTGCCTTGTACTTGCGTGTGAGAAGGCATAAGAGACTAAATCTAGTATTTGGAACGGATTGATCCTCTACTTTTGTGGTTAAGAGAGTGAGAGGTAGCCAACCACCCTAAACCACTATATTTTAATTTAATGCAAATTGGCAACTTGCTTTCNGACTAAATCTTGTATTTGGAACGGATTGATCCTCTACTTTTGTGGTTAAGAGAGTGAGAGGTAGCCAACCACCCTAAACCACTATATTTTAATTTAATGCAAATTGGCAACTTGCTTTCTTATATTGTAAATTTCCATGATACCATGTTAATTATTCAGTTTGCAAAAAAAAAAAATTAAAGTGGAACGTACCCAAAAACTTCCTGATCGAGCATACAACAAAATATCAACTGTAATTGAATTTAAAAACATCGAAAAAGAGAAATTTCAAAGATAAGCAATGAGTTACAACTACGTGATTGGAAAGAAGGGATAATGTAACTTATCCGGAATAAAAGGGAATAAGTTTTTCATGACTCTAGTTACCACTTAAACAAATTAAGTTACAATTCAAACAAGTTTACCAATGNCAACTGTAATTGAATTTAAAAACATCGAAAAAGAGAAATTTCAAAGATAAGCAATGGGTTACAACTACGTGATTGGAAAAGAAGGGATAATGTAACTTATCCGGAATAAAGGGAAATTAGTTTTTCACGACTCTAGTTACCACTTAAACAAATTAAGTTACAATTCAAACAAGTTTACCAATGAGTAAGTGCACCAATTTAAGATTGAGAAAAAAACCTTGGGCTTAATCCCAAATTTTTAGAATTGATCGTAAATTTTTAGACTTATTAAGTTTTAATTTAACATTATTGAATTGTAATCAAATCTCACTCGCTAGTAACGTTTTCAAAATATTTGTGAAAGGAGTAAAGTAGAAGAGAAATGAGGACCATTTCTTCGTTGAAAATGAACCTAGTCCTTTTTCCAAAATATNTTGAATTGTAATCAAATCTCACTCGCTAGTAACGTTTTCAAAATATTTGTGAAAGGAGTAAAGTAGAGGAGAAATGAGGACCATTTCTTCGTTGAAAATAAACCTAGTCCTTTTTCCAAAATTTTCTTTTGGTTTTTAATCCTAAAAGTGGTCAAGGGTCCGAGCATTTGCTATGCATTTTCGTATGCAGACCAACTAAAGATGGATCCTAAATTTTTTTTTTATGTTTGTGGACAATTAAGAGGAAATTGCATAGCATTTTCGTGTGTATACCAANTTGCTATGCATTTTCGTATGCAGACCAACTAAAGATGGATCCTAAATTTTTTTTTTTTTATGTTTGTGGACAATTAAGAGGAAATTGCATAGCGTTTTCGTGTGTAGACCAAATGGCCAAAACTAAGTGGAGAACAAGCAAGTGAAATTAAGTAACGTGTAGTTGAACTTGATTAGGTTTCTATGTAAATGGTTTTTAAATTTTAAATTGATTTGCATTTCATATAATTTTTAACTCATTTTTTTTTTGAACTGTTTAAACTCGTTTTTTAAATAAGTCAAATTGAGTAATGTGCAGTTCAACTCTCAATTAGGTTTCTATCTACAAATAATTTTATCTTTATTTTTGAACAATTGTGATTCGAAAGATGAATAACTATCATCAAGTAGTTCTAGTCTGTACACACCTCCCCATCATCTCTTCTCTCAAATAACTTTTTGGATAATTTAATTTTCTAGGATTTGACTTTATAGTTTATCTTATAGATTTGGGGGGATCTTATTGAGAAACTAATTATTCTACGAATGAATTTTGAAAAATTTTACTATAAAATGGAGCTCAATTTTGGCTCAAGTTTGACTTGACTGTTCGTAATAATTTAAATTTGACAATCGAGTTTGTCATTTAGAGGGAGTTTTTCCACCCCAACTACATCATCAACAATTTCATCAAGTTTGCACTAGCGGTATCCCATGCAATGCACGGCCAATGGCCTTCGTCAATCATAAATATTCTAAAAATAATATCACGATGTCATGGCAACAAAATGGAAACCATAATTTATTGAATAAATAATCTAATATCTTCACAAATTAAAAAATCATTCCCTCATAAAATGGAAATTCATCTCTACCAATATGAATTTTAGATTATCCTCATATCTAATATCATCAAACTCACACTTTGAAAAATCATAACATGCATAATAACTAAAGTCATCACAAAGGATATAAACATTATCCCTATACGGAAATATTTTAGCTCGAGTTTGACTTGACTGTTCGTAAGAATTTTAGTTTGAAAATCGAGTTCGTCATAACATGCATAATATCAATTTTCAAAATTTATCAAAACCACGTTAATATTTTAATGGTGTTAGGTGCTACAATTCTGCTATTCTTTTCGATTTGAGATTTATTTAGACTTCGTTGTAATAATGATGTATGAAACTTGTAATAATCATCAATCACTATATATAAAAAAATAAATTGAACATACTAATTGAGAAAAACTGAGGGAAATCTGAAATTGAAGATATATCTATCTTTTTTTTTTTAATAGGTAACAGTATCGAGTGTTACAATTCCATCTATAATATTAGAATCCAATTAATCTACCATATAAGAATTAGAATAAGCACCCAAAGATGAAGCTGGCCTTAAAGCTAGGCCTCTACGGTGGCTCACTGTTCAGATGAGGATTATATCTAAATGGATCTAATTGGGATATTCTTCACTCGATCAGAACTTAATCTATTGATCACCCCTGCCTAGACTAGATTTTTTTTTTTGAACAGTGCCTAGACCAGGTTGAGAAAACCATTATAGGGTCTTTCTTAATTATATCTTTGAAAGGGACAAAAATATAAATAATTCAATTGTCTGCATCAATGAGGTGTAATTATAAATATATTTTATGGAAGATGCAATAGAGGTTGTTTGTTTGTATGTGGAATGGACAAAAGAAAAGAGTACCAATAGGAGGGGTGAATGGGCCAGATGATAACTCAATTCTTGAAAAAAATTATATTTTAACCCTCACCTATATCTTTTATCTTATATTATCCCCTCAACTAT